TTTATTTTTTTTTTTAAAAAGATCTAATGTATTAAACTTAAAACATTTTGTAACTTAGTAAATATTAAAATTTTACTTAAAAAGTAATGACTAAGTTTGTTTGACGAGTCATTTATTTGTAAGAGGTATATAAATAAAGAGTTTAAAATTCTACTCAAATAAGTTTTTAATTATATAGTTTAATTATTAATTAGATAATTAGTGAAATCGTTCGTGGTCTGAATAAAGCCTCAAAAGTGTTAGAAGGGAAAATGAGACATGCCACATTAAAGTTATGAATATTCTTAGATAAAATAAAAATAAATTATTATTGGTCTAATAATCAACATGTTAAAAGATAATTACTTCATATAATCTTATAAAATTAAATCCTTATCCAAAGAAAAATGTTAATTAATTAATATTAAGGGATAATTATCTAATCATTAAGCTGTCTATAATTAATATATAATAACTGAACGAGCTTTAAATGGCAGAAAATGAATGTTAAATCTTCTCACTGGATACACCCAAGATTTATTTCCCACCAAATCTTCTCTCTTCCTCTGTTGTTCGTTTGCTTGTTCAACGCTCAAAAGCTATGAAAAACATATAAATAATCAGTTACTGATTCTCACGTTTCACATTCTTCACATCTCTTTCCTTGAATCTGACTCAAACCCTTCCAAATCTCTGAAACGCCCATATCAAATCCCTTTTTCTTTCCTTTCTTTTTAGTTTTTTTTTTTTATATGCAAGAAAACGCCCTTTTTCATTGCCAGCCATGACTGAGGTCCTCCACTCCCCATCCCATTTTCTTCATCTGCAAGCACCACTCCTCCTTCTTCCTCTTCTCGCTCCTCACCTTGTGCGCCCCGCTCCAATGGTTCCTGCCTTCATCTTACCATCCCCCATCGCCATAGCCAACAGATTTCGCGTATAACAGGAGAAGAAGTTAACCCTGAGGATTGTAGAGTTACTGGGCTCTCTTTGTTGGCTCTTTTCGTCACCCTTTTAAGGAAATCTCTGGTTGCTTGCAAGAGTGACAGGAGGGAGCTCTGCCGGATGGAGATCGGCTGGCCAACCAACGTGCGCCATGTGGCTCATGTCACCTTCGACCGGTTCAATGGGTTCCTGGGCTTGCCTGTTGAGTTTGAGCCTGACGTGCCCAGAAGGGCCCCCAGTGCAAGGTACATTGTTCGCTTCCTTCACTTTCTTCAATGGAGTTTGGGTTTTGATTGATTATCATATGAATTGAGTGTTTGGAGAGTGATGAATTCTCTTTTATTATGATGAGAATGTCAAATTCTTGCGAGGTTTGAATTGTTCTGTTGACAAAGTGGTGGGTTTTGGTTAATGGAATTCTTGGAACTGAATTGCGAAGCTTGCTGCTTTTATTTCATCTCGGTTGTTAAATTGGCTTTTCAAATTTCTGAAACTAAGAAAAAATAGTCAAGTATGTCTCTTTTGCAATTAGTTTGTTTTTTATTTGTTGCAGTGATTTCTGTTAAGGATTTAAAATATGAAATTTATGAAAATCTGATTACAAGCATTGCCGTGCCTTTTCTTTCTTTCTGTTTTTCCCCCT